TTTTTGAAATATTTATTGCATATTCATAACATATTTTTTCATTCTTTTTCCAGAAAAGCCATCAATTCCTCCAAAGAAAGATGATTTAGTGTAAGTATTAATCTCATCATTTCTTTCAATAAAGGTATTATTAATTAAAATCTTGTTGACTGTAACTGAAATTATATTTTTCTTGCACCCAGATTGCTGAATAAAAAGCAATATTTGATTTTTTTTTTTTAAAACATGAACTAACATGGTGCCCAGCCTTCATTTGATTATCTTTAGAATGATTGCAAGYTAGTCATCCATCCTTTTATGAATGATGTTGCTGCTGGTTTGCTTGCTTATAGTATCATTGTTTGCATCAAGGCATGAACACCAGACATCAAAACATGTTCTAACTGGCTCCTAAAACTTGTGTGTTTGTCAGCTAAAACATCAGCGTAAAAAATATTAAAATTTTTTAAGTCACYAAGAATACAAGTTTCAGGGGCCAGTTAGAACATGTTTTGTTTGTATAGTGTCTGTGCCTAGATAAAAATGACGGTAATGAAGTGGACATGCTAACCATTTGCATGTAACTGCTAGATGGGCCCCAATAATTTACTATCAAACTAATCGTTACTAACTTCAACTGGTTAGAGCTGTGCACCAGAGGTGCCTTCACATGCTTTCATTTTGACTTCGTTGAGCTACACCACTGCTGTACTTGTCAATCATTAGCCATAAAAAGTTTAATAAACTAACATGTTACAAAAACCTCTCATACTCATTAATAATTCATGAATAAACCAGCCAATCARTGGGCTATTTTTGGGTCACATGATGTTACTTGAAACSTGGTAAAGTGCTGTGAAAGGAATGCATTCAGTCTGGAGTAACTGGAACATAATTAATTCAGTCCTAGGACTAAATTAATTTTGTTCCAGACTCCAAGTCGCAACTAATTGCTTTGACTTGAAATCCCGTCCAGTCCTCATTGTCGGCTTTGAAATATTACTTAATCACTTTRAATTATATATTATCTACTTTAACAAAAACTAAAAAGTAAAGACAATAACCAAAAATTGTTAAACATTTATTTATATTAATATTAATACTTTAAGTAAGTAATAATAATCCATCTAAACTAAGAAATATATTAAACTTATATTACATTGAGGACACTCGAACTTGGAACACTTCAATTTTTTGTCCCTTTATTGAAATGCATATTGCATGTAAATCAAACTGCATGTAAATCAAACTGCATGTAAATGAGTTACTCAACGCCTTCATCTAAGATATTTTGTTCTTTTTATTTGAAAGTTCTGAAAATTATCTTTTTATCACTGTTTGGCGTTTGCCTTGGTTAATTGGAAGAGTGAGGATTCAAGTATTAGTAGCTAATTAGTAGCCCTCCCCTGGTGATATTAGACTTAAGCTACTAATTCTTGAATCCTTGCTCGGCCAATTGACCAAT